TCGTTGGTTCGAATCCCAGATTAAATGTAATCATGTTTCCTGGTTTGTCCGGTGTTCATAGGTTTTGCCAAATGGTAAACGTGTACGACCTGGGTTAATTAACACATTCCTTCATTGATGTTTGTTTGTTTGTGTTTGCTGTTGCGTAACCCCACACCCAGCAATATTCCAGCTATATGACGGCGTTCTGTAAATAACAAGTCTGAACCAGACAATCCAGTGATTGATATCATGAGCATCGTTCCACGCAACATGGATAGCATCACATGCATCAACAAAGACAGCGACCCTGACCAACAGACCCTATTAGTCGCCTCTTTCGGCAAGCATGAGTTGCTGAAGACCTATTCTAACTCGGATCTTCACTGTTCCCTCCAATATTGAACTGACTTGTCGTTGCGTAAACACATTCAAAGCGATCTCTGTAACGCTTTACAATGTGTGTACAGTAATTTTCTCTCGACAAGTCTCATGCAGAGAAGGGAAGGAGTAGGTTGTCAGTGCGACCTCTGAATTTGCTGTGGGTTTAAAGTGGGAAAATAAGCCCTCTATACAGTAATGCTAATGCCGAGTAAATGTAGTGTTGTTTGTTTAGGAATTAATGAGTTAAATGACGAGGAGTTTTTAGGGTGTCTGGATTAACCCTGGCGATACGTAGCTTCTGTTGGTCGGATGGTTTGTAGGTTGATTGTTGGCTGTGTAGGTTTTTTTTTTCACATTGCAAGTAATGTATTCATCAGTTATTCACACCCATTTTACAGTTATAAATCCAGTGGTCCCTGCCAGTTGTAATACTCCACCTCGCGACTGCCGCTCTGCAATCTAAGCCGAGAGGGAGAGAGAGAGAGAGAGAGAGAGAGAGAGAGAGGGAGAGAGAGAGAGAGAGAGAGAGAGAGACTGTAGCTAGGCAGATGCCGTGTGTGACAACGGCAATCCGGGACAGTTCTATACGTCCTTTGCGACACTTGTGTACATATTCTACAACAGCAACCATTCCGGCGTTTTAGAGGTGTTGTTTCGAGGCAACATCAACATCATCGTCAACTACGACGTCGTCCATTATGGCATAACATGTAGAACTGTCCCTGAAAGCGTCAATCTGCGTCGAGCTGGTAAAGACAGAGTGTACTGACGCCGCAATGAACGTTGTACCGTCAACTGCTTAAGGGAGGTCGAGAGACCTTGATTGGTGATGGCAGCTAAATGATGTGGGAGAAATCGTGCAACAGCTTGCACGAGTTCTTACCGCCGTGGGCACGGGTGGCCCAGTCATCTAAAGCGCCGCGATTCGCTGTGCAGAGTTGCGTCCCTTTGCCCACAACAGAAACCTATGATTGTGGGTTCGAATCCCGATTCGCCCCGATTATGTTTCTAGGTTTGTCAGCACGTGGGTTTCACCGAAGTAGTAAACGTCTGAGACCTGCACCACTTCGGGCTTTCCTCCCATATTAAGCTGACACGCCGGCATATAACTGGAGTTCTGTTAAAAGCGGCGTTAAACCCAACTCACTCACCTACCGCCGAGTGGATTAACATTCCCCAACGTGTTATCCTTACTTTCATACTTACTTTCTTTAGTCCACGGGCAGGAGGTACCAAGCAGTTTCTGACGCTAATGGGTATTGCGTCCCCATGACCTTGGCCTCCACACATTGGAAACGTGTCCACGTTTGCCCCTTCTGCAATGTGTCATAACTAATAAACCCTCAGATGCGCAGTAACTGTGTGTTAAATGAATTGTGCATGAATGAATTTCGTATGTTATGATAACACAATGTATTTAGCTCGCTAAATACAATGTTTATTCCATATACAGGATATTTACATCCCCAAACAAACCCGCCATTATTTGGCATGTGTACCAGACATGTGTGAGATATGACTTTGCAATAAGTATAGGCAAAATATCACCAAATATTTGGAGGACCTAAACACGATATTAATCAAACCACATTACATGCTAATATTGTGTTGCATGGCGTAAAGATAATATAAGTAATATAAATAGTTAAGAGTTATTCTTCGAATAAGGGTGAGCATCTGTGCCTGTGCCTATTTTTCTAACTTAACGAAACACGATCCTCGAGCCCACCATCTTCCCGAGGCAAGAGAGTTAACTGACTTTAAAAGTCTAGTTTCCACTGGACTTTTATAGTCAGTTAACTCACTTGCCTCGGGAAGATGTGAGCCCACATTATATTTATCGGTGTCCGGGTAAAGTGTAAAGCTTTTTCAATACAATTATTAATTATTTTAGTGTCAACCGCAACTTATATGCAAAATATTAACAGAAAGTCACACTTCTTTCGCCAAAAGTTGTACCTTTAAAAAGGACTAATTTTTTATTTATGAAAATGAAAATTGCAGATGTGCGAGCAACGTTCTTGTAGCAGTTATATTTTACAGACGCTTCAGGTATTAAATCATCCGACAGCTTTCCCTTCATAGAAGATCGAACCTCGATCAATACGTCACGCTCATCTAAAGGTAAATATATCGTCATGCATAATTATGTTTTGGTTTAAAAAAATATGTATGTATACCTGTTGAGACAGGTCGTTGGCAACAACATTATAGATTCGATACATAATGAAATTACTATTCACTGGGCGATTGGGGCGAATAGTGCCGAGGAGAGAGAGAGAGAGGGGGGGGGGGGGGGGGGGGGGTTGCTCACGATGTCAATCACTTGATTGTCTGGTTCAGACTCGGTTATGTACAGACCGACGCCATTTCCTGGAATATTGCTGAGTACGGCGCGAAACAACAAGCAAACAAACAATAGTAACTTATGTCTCATTCTAGGCTGTCACAATTTATCATAAATGTTTTCAGTAGTTTATTAAGTATGGAAATGTAATGGTATCTGAAATTATTATGTGTATTTCCTGTCTACGCCGGCCCTAACCGCTCAAGAAAAGTGAGAATAGGTTGTTGTTTTATGTCATACTATTCGTTCACCTGAATATATAACATCCAGCTCTGGAGGGAAACGAATAAATTGCTCGTTCATATTAACAAATCTCTTTTATTCTCGTTTGTTTGTCAAAAGAATGCTGAACGGATGATCAAGAAGGGACGTAACTCTGCCCGTAGTGTCGGTTTATATATCCAGCCGTGTAATATCGACGACCCTTTTCTTCCTTTCCAGCGTCAGCATCGAAACGGTAACCGTTGAACTGCGAATAGAGCACAAAAACAATTCCGTGAGATTAACATGAGTACGTTGGATTCTTTCGATCCGAAATGCAGGACAAACAAAATGGATCACATATCAGTGTTCGAACTGAGCGCTTGCACGTAGGCCCGTGACAGGTAGATCTTGTGGCGGGCCTGTAGTTTTAAAGATTTGCATATGTCCTGTTGGGCTAGAGTAAATTTGTGTGTCGATGTATTTGTCACTATAAGCAGTTTTTTTTAATGAGGGCCTAAAGAGTTTAGTCAGGGCCTGCATCTTCTAAAGTCTCTGGCTCCTGATGGCATCCTGGCAATTTTTATATTTCCAAAAACTGCAAAACATCAGTCAACTTGCATTTTCAACTAAAGTATTAAGGATGACTGACCAGTTGCCAGTACATACGGAAGCTTGTTAGGGCAATTTGTTTTTTTCGTTTTTTTTCGTGAAATTTCAAGATACTAAGTTCAAATTTCAAGATACACACTAAGTTCAAATTTCAAGATAATAAGTTCAAATTTTAAGATAATAAGTAGAAATTTCAAGTTATTATCTTGAAATTTCAAGTTAGTATCTTGATTTTTCAACAACAAAATATGAAAACAAATGGCCCTTAAAGGCTTCCGTAATAGGCTTCACGATGTATTAAGTGGAACGCGGGGATTCATAAGTGGTGGTGGTGGACAAATTAAGGGTGTAATACAGATACAAATGTTACCTCCTTAATATTGTTTGCCTTACGCGATCTCACCAAGACAACAAGACATATTGGTCCTGTCACAAACGTGTTATCAGTTTGAACGCAATCATGTTTAAGTTATACCATTGTTTGTTCAGTTTGTAACATTCCATTTCTTCACAATATGTATGTAATTACTGTACCCAATCCCTGATATATCGTATGTAACGTAATAAAATATTTGTAAAACTCTGACCACATTTTTCATATACAAGTATATAGTTTCTTCAACTGGCCGCACCCTCTGAAACTGGACGTGGAGATGTACATGTGAACACACATGATATGGACAGCCTAACAGATTGAGTTAAACGTTTGAGAAAATAGCATAACAAACAACCCATAATTTATTGCTCCCTGCAATCTAAGTAGACGCAATTTACGGGTAACGACTACTTTATTATACTTTAATTCAACTTCAAAGTAATGCCTATCAAACTATTCCTTACAGTCATAAATTTTCGTCTACAATTTGTGAGTCGTAAGTTAACTTGTCTTTTAACAGCGTCCGTCCTTGTCGTTAGGTTACTGACCTACATACAACCACGGACTTGTATATACTTGTTATATAGGTCCAGGATACAACGCGACATGCCACCTGCCGCGCAGGGGCTGGTCGTCTCAAATTTCACTTCTGAATGACTTCATGGTGACTTCGGGTTAGGATCCTGTCCCAAGAGTCCAAAGCTGATCATGAACTGGCGAGGGTCACTGACTTGGCTGATTGCGTGGGATTCGGCCCACTATATATCACCCTCCACAATCGACAGTTGGAGTCGAGACTCGGTCCCACTATCACCCTCTGCGGTCAACCCCTGGGAGTCGAGACTCGGTCTCACTATCACCCTCCGCGGTCGACATTGGGAGTCAAGACACGGATCAATTAATTATTACTCTCCATGGTCGGCCCCTGGGAGTCGAGACTCGGTCTCACTATCACCCTCCGCGGTCAACCCCTGGGAGTCGAGACTCGGTCCCACTATCATCCTCTGCGGTCGACCCCTGGGAGCCGAGACTCGGTCTCACTATCAACCTCCGCGGTCGACATTGGGAGTCAAGACACGGATCAATTAATTATTACTCTCCATGGTCGGCCCCTGGGAGTCGAGACTCGGTCTCACTATCACCCTCCGCGGTCAACCCCTGGGAGTCGAGACTCGGTCCCACTATCACCCTCTGCGGTCGACCCCTGGGAGCCGAGACTCGGTCTCACTATCAACCTCCGCGGTCGACATTGGGAGTCAAGACACGGATCAATTAATTATTACTCTCCATGGTCGGCCCCTGGGCGTCGAGACTCGGTCTCACTATCACCCTCCGCGGTCAACCCCTGGGAGTCGAGACTCGGTCCCACTATCACCCTCCGCGGTCGACATTGGGAGTCAAGACACGGATCAATTAATTATTACTCTCCGCGGTCAACCCCTTGGAGTCGAGACTCGGTCCCACTATCACCCTCTGCGGTCAACCCCTGGGAGTCGAGACTCGGTCTCACTATCACCCTCCGCGGTCGACATTGGGAGTCAAGACACGGATCAATTAATTATTACTCTCCATGGTCGGCCCCTGGGAGTCGAGACTCGGTCTCACTATCACCCTCTGCGGTCAACCCCTGGGAGTCGAGACTCGGTCTCACTATCACCCTCTGCGGTCGACCCCTGGGAGTCGAGACTCGGTCTCACTATCACCCTCCGCGGTCGACATTGGGAGTCAAGACACGGATCAATTAATTATTACTCTCCATGGTCGGCCCCTGGGAGTCGAGACTCGGTCTCACTATCACCCTCCGCGGTCAACCCCTGGGAGTCGAGACTCGGTCCCACTATCACCCTCCGCGGTCAACCCCTGGGAGTCGAGACTCGGTCTCACTATCACCCTCTGCGGTCAACCCCTTGGAGTCGAGACTCGGTCTCACTATCACCCTCCGCGGTCGACATTGGGAGTCAAGACACGGATCAATTAATTCTTACTCTCCATGGTCGGCCCCTGGGAGTCAAGACTCGGTCTCACTATCACCTTCCGCGGTCAACCCCTGGGAGTCGAGACTCGGTCTCACTATCACCCTCCGCGGTCGACATTGGGAGTCAAGACACGGATCAATTAATTATTACTCTCCGCGGTCAACCCCTGGGAGTCGAGACTCGGTCCCACTATCACCCTCTGCGGTCAAACCCTGGGAGTCGAGACTCGGTCTCACTATCACCCTCCGCGGTCGACATTGGGAGTCAAGACACGGATCAATTAATTATTACTCTCCATGGTCGGCCCCTGGGAGTCGAGACTCGGTCTCACTATCACCCTCTGCGGTCAACCCCTGGGAGTCGAGACTCGGTCTCACTATCACCCTCTGCGGTCGACCCCTGGGAGTCGAGACTCGGTCTCACTATCACCCTCCGCGGTCGACATTGGGAGTCAAGACACGGATCAATTAATTATTACTCTCCATGGTCGGCCCCTGGGAGTCGAGACTCGGTCTCACTATCACCCTCCGCGGTCAACCCCTGGGAGTCGAGACTCGGTCCCACTATCACCCTCCGCGGTCAACCCCTGGGAGTCGAGACTCGGTCTCACTATCACCCTCTGCGGTCAACCCCTTGGAGTCGAGACTCGGTCTCACTATCACCCTCCGCGGTCGACATTGGGAGTCAAGACACGGATCAATTAATTCTTACTCTCCATGGTCGGCCCCTGGGAGTCAAGACTCGGTCTCACTATCACCTTCCGCGGTCAACCCCTGGGAGTCGAGACTCGGTCTCACTATCACCCTCCGCGGTCGACATTGGGAGTCAAGACACGGATCAATTAATTATTACTCTCCGCGGTCAACCCCTGGGAGTCGAGACTCGGTCCCACTATCACCCTCTGCGGTCAAACCCTGGGAGTCGAGACTCGGTCTCACTATCACCCTCCGCGGTCGACATTGGGAGTCAAGACATGGATCAATTAATTCTTACTCTCCATGGTCGGCCCCTGGGAGTCGAGACTCGGTCTCACTATCACCCTCTGCGGTCGACCCCTGGGAGTCGAGACTCGGTCTCACTATCACCCTCCGCGGTCGACATTGGGAGTCAAGACACGGATCAATTAATTATTACTCTCCGCGGTCAACCCCTGGGAGTCGAGACTCGGTCCCACTATCACCCTCTGCGGTCAAACCCTGGGAGTCGAGACTCGGTCTCACTATCACCCTCCGCGGTCGACATTGGGAGTCAAGACATGGATCAATTAATTCTTACTCTCCATGGTCGGCCCCTGGGAGTCGAGACTCGGTCTCACTATCACCCTCTGCGGTCGACCCCTGGGAGTCGAGACTCGGTCTCACTATCACCCTCCGCGGTCGACATTGGGAGTCAAGACACGGATCAATTAATTATTACTCTCCATGGTCGGCCCCTGGGAGTCGAGACTCGGTCTCACTATCACCCTCCGCGGTCAACCCCTGGGAGTCGAGACTCGGTCCCACTATCACCCTCCGCGGTCAACCCCTGGGAGTCGAGACTCGGTCTCACTATCACCCTCTGCGGTCAACCCCTTGGAGTCGAGACTCGGTCTCACTATCACCCTCCGCGGTCGACATTGGGAGTCAAGACACGGATCAATTAATTCTTACTCTCCATGGTCGGCCCCTGGGAGTCAAGACTCGGTCTCACTATCACCTTCCGCGGTCAACCCCTGGGAGTCGAGACTCGGTCTCACTATCACCCTCCGCGGTCGACATTGGGAGTCAAGACACGGATCAATTAATTATTACTCTCCGCGGTCAACCCCTGGGAGTCGAGACTCGGTCCCACTATCACCCTCTGCGGTCAAACCCTGGGAGTCGAGACTCGGTCTCACTATCACCCTCCGCGGTCGACATTGGGAGTCAAGACACGGATCAATTAATTATTACTCTCCATGGTCGGCCCCTGGGAGTCGAGACTCGGTCTCACTATCACCCTCTGCGGTCAACCCCTGGGAGTCGAGACTCGGTCTCACTATCACCCTCTGCGGTCGACCCCTGGGAGTCGAGACTCGGTCTCACTATCACCCTCCGCGGTCGACATTGGGAGTCAAGACACGGATCAATTAATTATTACTCTCCATGGTCGGCCCCTGGGAGTCGAGACTCGGTCTCACTATCACCCTCCGCGGTCAACCCCTGGGAGTCGAGACTCGGTCCCACTATCACCCTCCGCGGTCAACCCCTGGGAGTCGAGACTCGGTCTCACTATCACCCTCTGCGGTCAACCCCTTGGAGTCGAGACTCGGTCTCACTATCACCCTCCGCGGTCGACATTGGGAGTCAAGACACGGATCAATTAATTCTTACTCTCCATGGTCGGCCCCTGGGAGTCAAGACTCGGTCTCACTATCACCTTCCGCGGTCAACCCCTGGGAGTCGAGACTCGGTCTCACTATCACCCTCCGCGGTCGACATTGGGAGTCAAGACACGGATCAATTAATTATTACTCTCCGCGGTCAACCCCTGGGAGTCGAGACTCGGTCCCACTATCACCCTCTGCGGTCAAACCCTGGGAGTCGAGACTCGGTCTCACTATCACCCTCCGCGGTCGACATTGGGAGTCAAGACATGGATCAATTAATTCTTACTCTCCATGGTCGGCCCCTGGGAGTCGAGACTCGGTCTCACTATCACCCTCTGCGGTCGACCCCTGGGAGTCGAGACTCGGTCTCACTATCACCCTCCGCGGTCGACATTGGGAGTCAAGACACGGATCAATTAATTATTACTCTCCGCGGTCAACCCCTGGGAGTCGAGACTCGGTCCCACTATCACCCTCTGCGGTCAAACCCTGGGAGTCGAGACTCGGTCTCACTATCACCCTCCGCGGTCGACATTGGGAGTCAAGACATGGATCAATTAATTCTTACTCTCCATGGTCGGCCCCTGGGAGTCGAGACTCGGTCTCACTATCACCCTCTGCGGTCGACCCCTGGGAGTCGAGACTCGGTCTCACTATCACCCTCCGCGGTCGACATTGGGAGTCAAGACACGGATCAATTAATTATTACTCTCCATGGTCGGCCCCTGGGAGTCGAGACTCGGTCTCACTATCACCCTCCGCGGTCAACCCCTGGGAGTCGAGACTCGGTCCCACTATCACCCTCCGCGGTCAACCCCTGGGAGTCGAGACTCTGTCTCACTATCACCCTCCGCGGTCAACCCTTGGAAGTCGAGACTCGGTCCCACTATCACCCTCTGCGGTCGACCCCTGGAAGTCGAGACTCGGTCTCACTATCACCCTCCGCGGTCGACATTGGGAGTCAAGACACGATCAATTAATTATTACTCTCCATGGTCGGCCCCTGGGAGTCGAGACTCGGTCTCACTATCACCCTCTGCGGTCAATCCCTTGGAGTCGAGACTCGGTCCCACTATCACCCTCTGCGGTCAACCCCTGGGAGTCGAGACTCGGTCTCACTATCACCCTCCGCGGTCGACATTGGGAGTCAAGACACGGATCAATTAATTATTACTCTCCATGGTCGGCCCCTGGGAGTCGAGACTCGGTCTCACTATCACCCTCCGCGGTCAACCCCTGGGAGTCGAGACTCGGTCCCACTATCACCCTCCGCGGTCGACATTGGGAGTCAAGACACGGATCAATTAATTATTACTCTCCATGGTCGGCCCCTGGGAGTCGAGACTCGGTCTCACTATCACCCTCTGCGGTCAACCCCTGGGAGTCAAGACACGGATCAATTAATTATTACTCTCCATGGTCGGCCCCAGGGAGACGAGACTCGGTCTCACTATCACCCTCCGCGGTCGACATTGGGAGTCGAGACTCGGTCCCACTATCACCCTCTGCGGTCGACCCCTGGGAGTCGAGACTCGGTCTCACTATCACCCTCCGCGGTCAACCCCTGGGAGTCGAGACTCGGTCCCACTATCACCCTCTGCGGTCAACCCCTGGGAGTCGAGACTCGGTCTCACTATCACCCTCCGCGGTCGACATTGGGAGTCAAGACACGGATCAATTAATTATTACTCTCCATGGTCGGCCCCTGGGAGTCGAGACTCGGTCCTAATATCACCCTCTGCGGTCAACCCCTGGGAGTCGAGACTCGGTCCCACTATCACCCTCCGCGGTCAACCCCTGGGAGTCGAGACTCGGTCTCACCATTACCCTCCGCGGTCGACATTGGGAGTCAAGACACGGATCAATTAATTATTACTCTCCATGGTCGGCCCCTGGGAGTCGAGACTCGGTCTCACTATCACCCTCCGCGGTCAACCCCTGGGAGTCGAGACTCGGTCCCACTATCACCCTCCGCGGTCAACCCCTGGGAGTCGAGACTCGGTCTCACTATCACCCTCCGCGGTCAACCCTTGGAAGTCGAGACTCGGTCCCACTATCACCCTCTGCGGTCGACCCCTGGAAGTCGAGACTCGGTCTCACTATCACCCTCCGCGGTCGACATTGGGAGTCAAGACACGATCAATTAATTATTACTCTCCATGGTCGGCCCCTGGGAGTCGAGACTCGGTCTCACTATCACCCTCTGCGGTCAATCCCTTGGAGTCGAGACTCGGTCCCACTATCACCCTCTGCGGTCAACCCCTGGGAGTCGAGACTCGGTCTCACTATCACCCTCCGCGGTCGACATTGGGAGTCAAGACACGGATCAATTAATTATTACTCTCCATGGTCGGCCCCTGGGAGTCGAGACTCGGTCTCACTATCACCCTCCGCGGTCAACCCCTGGGAGTCGAGACTCGGTCCCACTATCACCCTCCGCGGTCGACATTGGGAGTCAAGACACGGATCAATTAATTATTACTCTCCATGGTCGGCCCCTGGGAGTCGAGACTCGGTCTCACTATCACCCTCTGCGGTCAACCCCTGGGAGTCAAGACACGGATCAATTAATTATTACTCTCCATGGTCGGCCCCAGGGAGACGAGACTCGGTCTCACTATCACCCTCCGCGGTCGACTCCTGGGAGTCAAGACTCGGTCCCACTATCACCCTCTGCGGTCGACCCCTGGGAGTCGAGACTCGGTCTCACTATCACCCTCCGCGGTCAACCCCTGGGAGTCGAGACTCGGTCCCACTATCACCCTCTGCGGTCAACCCCTGGGAGTCGAGACTCGGTCTCAATATCACCCTCCGCGGTCGACATTGGGAGTCAAGACACGGATCAATTAATTATTACTCTCCATGGTCGGCCCCTGGGAGTCGAGACTCGGTCCTAATATCACCCTCTGCGGTCAACCCCTGGGAGTCGAGACTCGGTCCCACTATCACCCTCCGCGGTCAACCCCTGGGAGTCGAGACTCGGTCTCACCATTACCCTCCGCGGTCGACATTGGGAGTCAAGACACGGATCAATTAATTATTACTCTCCATGGTCGGCCCCTGGGAGTCGAGACTCGGTCTCACTATCACCCTCTGCGGTCAACCCCTGGGAGTCAAGACACGGATCAATTAATTATTACTCTCCATGGTCGGCCCCTGGGAGACGAGACTCGGTCTCACTATCACCCTCCGCGGTCGACTCCTGGGAGTCGAGACTCGGTCCCACTATCACCCTCTGCGGTCGACCCCTGGGAGTCGAGACTCGGTCCCACTATCACCCTCTGCGGTCGACCCCTGGGAGTCGAGACTCGGTCCCACTATCACCCTCCGCGGTCAACCCCTGGGAGTCGAGACTCGGTCCCACTATCACCCTCTGCGGTCAACCCCTGGGAGTCGAGACTCGGTCTCACTATCACCCTCCGCGGTCGACATTGGGAGTCAAGACACGGATCAATTAATTATTACTCTCCATGGTCGGCCCCTGGGAGTCGAGACTCGGTCCTAATATCACCCTCTGCGGTCAACCCCTGGGAGTCGAGACTCGGTCCCACTATCACCCTCCGCGGTCAACCCCTGGGAGTCGAGACTCGGTCTCACCATTACCCTCCGCGGTCGACATTGGGAGTCAAGACACGGATCAATTAATTATTACTCTCCATGGTCGGCCCCTGGGAGTCGAGACTCGGTCTCACTATCACCCTCCGCGGTCAACCCCTGGGAGTCGAGACTCGGTCCCACTATCACCCTCCGCGGTCAACCCCTGGGAGTCGAGACTCGGTCTCACTATCACCCTCCGCGGTCAACCCTTGGAAGTCGAGACTCGGTCCCACTATCACCCTCTGCGGTCGACCCCTGGAAGTCGAGACTCGGTCTCACTATCACCCTCCGCGGTCGACATTGGGAGTCAAGACACGATCAATTAATTATTACTCTCCATGGTCGGCCCCTGGGAGTCGAGACTCGGTCTCACTATCACCCTCTGCGGTCAATCCCTTGGAGTCGAGACTCGGTCCCACTATCACCCTCTGCGGTCAACCCCTGGGAGTCGAGAATCGGTCTCACTATCACCCTCCGCGGTCGACATTGGGAGTCAAGACACGGATCAATTAATTATTACTCTCCATGGTCGGCCCCTGGGAGTCGAGACTCGGTCTCACTATCACCCTCCGCGGTCAACCCCTGGGAGTCGAGACTCGGTCCCACTATCACCCTCCGCGGTCGACATTGGGAGTCAAGACACGGATCAATTAATTATTACTCTCCATGGTCGGCCCCTGGGAGTCGAGACTCGGTCT